TTTAGTATACTTGAGTAATTTAAAAATCCAATTGCTCTAAATAAATGCAAGAAAAATAATAAAATATTAAAAAAAAAGAAAATCTCAAAGATTTCAGATTTTAAATTACGTCCAAAGGGGCGTTTTTTTAACATTTTGTGTGTTACCGTTATTTATTAAATATCATGTTCTTCTCACTTACATTATAAAATTTAGTTCAAGAGCAATATCACAAAATAATTTAAAAAGAGCATGTCTAGAATTTCCAATACACAGTCTTGTGCGCTGGAGACATATTTTTTTTTCAAGTACAGTCTTGCCATTGATCGCTTTGAAATCGTTGAGTGTGTTATTCAGAAATTCGTTAAAAGTTTACAAAATATGAAATATGTAATAAAAAAAATTCCAAATTTGGGCTTCCAGATGCCCATATTCGGGTGGAGACGTACGTTATACAAAATTTGACGTCTCTAGGAACCGTTGTAATTTCATAGTGCGGAAAACATACATACATTCATGCAGATTCTTAATTATTTAATTTCTTTAAATATAACCCTGGGCTCTAATATATGGTGGCAACAATTTGAAAAATGAAACAACGTTTATAGTGAACCAACGCAAAAGGCCAAAATGAAATTAATAGCCTTTCTAGGCAAATTCCTCCTTTGGGCTAAAAACAGAGTATTCACTTCTATAATAAAGGCATTCGTCTAATTTCTCTAACGGTATAGTAAAAAGGGAAAACTGAACTCAAAATTTAAAGCATTTGTCAAAACATTAGAGGTAACACAAACACAGAAAACACATGCACGCACATATATAGGTATGCATATATGTGTAGCGACTCTTCCTATCAAAAGTACATTATGTAATGTATTTTTGGTAACAAAATAGAGCCGTGTAATTTCCGATACATTATATATGCGTGCAATTATTTTTATGCTAACAGGATTTCCAACAGAAATATTTAAAACCTGAAATTCATTTTTCCTCAGCTGTAAATTAGCGGATAATTGTCCACCACCGGCTAGTTAGCTAAACACTTTTTAATACATTATTTTAACAACTTTTAATTTTTAATTAGACGTAGCATATTGTTAGCCAGTGGGCTTTTGTAGTAAGTCATGCTTGTCGACGTTTTTAAATATTCATTGAATTAACTGAATTAACGTTGAGTCAGAAAATGTGAGAACTGTTCCGATTGAGCTAATGTGTGAGTAAATACATTTTGTATATTTCGTCCACTTTATATGATTAAGTTTCACTCGTTTTATGAGTTATAAGGATTGCGTTAATTTATCTAGCAGTTAAACTTTGAATTAAAGTCCTTTCCTATCGCTTCTTAATTTCAACTTACAACTTCCGACCAGAACATAGTTTTAGAATCACGTTTGAATACAAATTTAAGGAATAGTATTTAACCGCGAAGTTCTACTGTCTTAGTCAGAGAGAACCTGAGATTCTGGTAGAACGCGTCTACATTTTTAAGCTACTCTCTCTCAAGCTATTATTACGCTCGGCCGTACTTTAGTCCTTTGATAGCTTCGCAGTTTATTAGCGTTAAGGGGCCAACTCTGTTAGAAGTTTGATAGCTTTGGCTATATCTTTTTTAGTTAAGATTAGTTTAATTCTTAGTCTCCTACGTTAAGGCCCGAGTGTCCGCTTTATTGTACAACGGAGTTCTGTTACACCTAATTGGAATAATAAAGGGTTATTTCACCCTTCTTACTTGTTGTTTTTCTATCCCACGATTTCAAGCGATAATTCGCTTACTAGTTCTTAAGATTCTCACATTCAACTGTAACTTAAAAGTATACAGTATAAATCTTACAGAGTAAGAGTTTTATAAAATGAATAAGTAACCCTTTTGATTACACTGTTGTTCTTTGCGTAAGACGCTTTTTAATGCATTTTAAGGTTCTTTTTTTTTTTTTTTTTTTTTTTTTTTTTTTTGCATACGATGTTAAAAATATTCTGTTTTGTAAGATTATTTTTTTTTCAAATGTTAACCTTAAATATAATTTAATTTATCTTTCTAATAACAAAGCTTCATTAATCAGAAATAAAATACTATGACGGAAAACAAAATTGCAACGCCAAGAAGGATTTGTGCTAGATAAACGAAATTTCGTAGGCGTATTTATACATCTGAAAGATGACGTCTATTCAAATTTCATGCTAAGCGCATAAGTGTGGCACTAATTGTGCCACTATGAACATGCAAATCAGGTTTGTTTTATATACGTCCTGTAAAGCTTGTCGGCGTTATTTACCATTGAGATTTGACGCAATGAGTTGATATTAGCTACGAATGCCGTTAAGAAGACGAAGAAGCTATTATCAACAGCTCAGTCAGTTTGAACGAAGTCGTGTAATAAGGATATGAGAAGGTGAATTTTCTTTCCGGGATACTACAGAAAGACTTGACAGGAATGCATGATTGTTGGCAGCAATGGTCAAGTAAAGGATTCTGACTCAACAAAACCGGATTCCGGGCGGCTACGTGTCACAACTGAAAGAAACCGTGTTTGGCGTATGGCTGTGGTGCATCATGTTAAAAATTGCAGCAGAAATTCGAACGGCAGTTGGCACCACAGTGATACAACGAATTCAGTTACTTGAAGGACAGCTTGAGCCAGACATCTGTAGCATGCATTCCAGTGACCCCAAAGCACTGCCGTTTGCGATTCCAATGATGCCACGACAAAGCTCATTAGAAGTCTGAATGCAGATCTGTTGTGTTTTCTGATGAAAGCCGGTTCCACTTTGGTACCAGTGATGATATTGGTTAGAAGGAGAACAGGTGAGGGCCTGCAGACGGCCTAGACGCGCAGGATCTACAACTGAAGTTATGGTCTAGGAAGCAATTTCATAGGAACAGGAGCACTCTCGTAGTTGTCCTCCGTAACCCTGACTTCACATTTGTAGGTCAGGCTGGTGACTGCCTGAACTACAAATTTGAACTCAGTTCTGCTGCCATTCATGAACAACATATTCAACGGTGTGTTTTTTAATAGGATAACCCTCTCCCTCATATCGCTGTTATAACCCAGCATGCTCTACAGAGTTCGACATGTTGCCTTGGCCTGTTAGATCACCAGATCTTTCTTCGGTCGAGCGCGTGTGGGATATCATTGGGCGATAATTAAACGTCATTCAAAACCAGCATTAACTACCTTTGTACTAACCGACCAAATGCAAAAGGCATGGAACTCCATCTTACAAACTGACATCTGGCACCTTTACAACGCAATACATCCATGTCCGTATGCTTGCATTCAAAATTCTAGCTGTTACACCTGTTATTAATTAATGTACCAGGATTTCACATTTGAAATGGCCTTTTTGCGCTTGAAATAACCTATGATCTTGAAAATTTGATCAATTAAATATATTACCTAGACAAATGTATTGCCGAAATTTCATTATTCTACAAAAAAGAATTTTCTTGGTGCTGGGAATTTGTTTTCCTCAGTGTATATCTGTGTTTCAAATTTGTAATGATCAAGGAAAAAATAAGTATTGATTTGTTCAGCGGGAGAAAATGCAAAGAGTGCTGTGCCGTAAAAAGTGGAAAAACGCCTTAAGTAGTTTACTAATAAACAGAGTAATAACTTGAAAAATCTCATTTGCTCTCTTCAGACACTGCCTTTTCTTATCTAAAATTCCAGTTCCTAAAACTGTAGCACATTTATCTTTTGCATCTAATTACTGAAATTTGAAACCACAAATGTGTAATGATCTTCCATAATAAAGGATAAAACGAATGATATCAAATATATTTTTTTTTCCTAAGAGTCTCTAAAAGTAACATTATTATTCTTTTTCGTATTACTTTTTATCTCATATATGAATTGTTAAATAATTTAACAATATTTTCGTGGATAGCTGAATTTTAGGAATCCTCACTGCAGTGTTCTAAAATAGTGTTCTTCACAATGATTGGATGGGAATTCTTCATAATCTTATACCTAAAATTATAAAACTGAGGAGCTTAAAATGCTTTAAAATAAATAGCTGTACTACATGTTGGTTGTATGAAAATTTTTCAAGCGGATGTTAGTTTCATAAAAATCGAGTTTCTCAAATAATTGTTAATATTTTGTTTTTTCATTCTTCGTGATTTTCAGTTCCAGGTATACCTGGAATAGTGTATTAACAGTATATTGTCTAATTTAATTAATTATCTGCTAAAATATTGAAATTGCAAAAATAATATATGTTTGTTAATATAAAATTTTTGCAGATTGTATGCATTTGTATAAATTTATGCAAAAATTATTAGATTTGGACCCGAAATTTTAGACATTGGTATGAAATGTGTTGCATTAAGACATGGTTTCAAGGTCCTGGCTAATAACTAATATATTACAGAATAAACACTGTATTATTTGGAAATAAGACCCACTTTTCTACTACATTTTTGTTCTAAAATCTTAAATTCATATATGAAAGTACAGAATGAAAAGAAGGAGTTCGGTTATCATACTATACAAGTTGTTATTTTGGAGAAAATACGGTATCTAGACCATAATAAGACATAATATAGTATGCTAAGGTACAAAATAGCTTAAAAAGTAACTTATAAGCGATAGATATTCAGCCTCTAGAGTAAGATGAACAGCTCAAACAAGCATTAAATGCCCAAAGCTGTGGTCAATTACTAATATATTTCAGAATAAATATGTGTGAACAAGTAAGGATATAATACTTGCTAAGGTACAAAGTTTAAAAAGACATTTTAGGTTGTAGCTATACAGAAGCATTATGATATATGTACATTAATTACCCTATATTGCGTTGGTTATCAAAATACTGAAATAGTTGAGAGGGAGAGTACAATGTACAACATATACAAAAAATGAAATAAACCAGTACGAAGAAAATAAGGATGAGTTATTGCACTATGTGGAAATGTAATTGCAAACCTCATTTTTCACTATTTGAGATTGTTATAGCATGCAAAGAATTATAATTGTTCAAATAAATCTTATTGCCACTTATTTCTTTTAAAACTTTAGGTCGACTAAATTTCGACAATCTTCAAAAGTCAGTCTGTTACGTCCTCATTGCCAATATTTCCGAAATCATTCCATTTCTACTGATGATGATCTTCCATATACCATTGCCACTGGGGAGTATCTTCATTTTGTTCATCGATATAGGAATAAATCTGGTGAGTTATTCTAAAAGTTTTACTTTAACTTTCTGCTATATCTACTTTACTAAACTGTAATAAAAGAGGCAGTAAGTTTCGTTCATTTATTTACTATAAATGCAAATGAATGCCTAATGTCGTTTCTTCTTTATGCCATTGTAAAGAACAAAACTAGATATTACACAAAAAAAGCATCTCGAATCCAGAAAAGCAGGTATCAACTGAAATACTTAATATGATTCGTGAATAATTTATTAAATTTATTGTAACTTGACTCAGTTAAATCGTGTTAAATTCTATTGCACCTGTTTATTAAATGGCGGTAACCACAACTTTGATTAGCTTAATTTTAGAGCATTGGATGATGAGTTTTCTTCATCTGGAGCAGCAGCAGCTCCCAACATGTGGCATGTGACCTTTAAATATGCGAGATGACTTTGTCAGAAGTACGCGAAAAAATGTTTAGTAATTGCAGGAAATTAACGAAAGGGATTTAGTAAAAGCTAATAAAATTTTAAAAAATTCAGAAAATCTAAATTTCGGATTTGATAAAAGGAAAAACAATTTCGTCTGTTTCTGATGTGATTTCAGTGAAAGAAATGTGTTCAAAGTAGTAAGCTGTAACTAGCTCTAAAACTGGATAAATGGTTAAAAAGTGCATATTCGCACATAATAGAAACTACTTATGGAAAATAAGATTCGATTTATAGAATTTGTTAAGCAAATTTTAGGAGATCACCCATTTCAGCTAAGCTTGAAATTCATAATGATGAACAGCTCGAAGGACTAGCTTAACTATGTGACTTTTTTTCAAAAAATAGGTAAACTCAGCTTATATTTGCAAAAACATTTCCATAGGTCTTTTCAAAACTTCTAACAAAACAAATTCTGTGATCAGAGAGTTACATTTGGAGGAATCATCAGCCCACTCGTTTGCCTGGCTTGCCCGCTAGTAGTTATATATTATTTAATTATTATATTTTTAAACGTCTCATAGGTAACACCTGTCTCTACTACATAACATAATTGTTTGCAGCAATGTATATAAAGCACGACTCACTGCTCTAAATATAATGGATATTCATCGCTCATCTACGTAAATAAAATAGATATTCAATACGTAATGCCAACCCTTCATTGAATTCAAACACTAAATGCTTTTCCTCGGTTGCGGATATTTTTATTAGCAGAATTTTATTAACCATGGACAAAGAAATTTTCTTTAATGTACTATTTTAATTAAGTGACTAGGACTAACATTTTTATGATACATCTACTAAGATAAAGTCAACATGTTCAGTTTGGAATCCTAGTTAAAACAAGAATAGAAAAGAGGAAATTATCTCTTAATCCTCTAATCGTATAAGGAAACGCAAATAAGAAGAAGTATGTGTCTTTTATTGTGTAGGAAAATATTAACTGCCATAGTACAGCCTTACGTGTGAATTTGTTCCATCAGACTGACTCTAAATTGATTACTTTACTTCTACAATTATATGAAGGAAAAAACTTTACTAAACATGAAAACGATTCATGATTTATTATATTACATGAAGGACACTGCTAGAAGTTTTAAAATACAATAGGAAAATCTTTTAAAATTTAATATATTAATGTAATGCTTAATAAAAAAATTAAATATTTAATTGATTTCTAACAGTCTAGAATTAAAAAAATAAAACTAGTACTCTTCTGTTATCGGGACCGGATTCAGAAATGTATGTATGTATGCATGTGTTCATGTATGCATGCATATAAGTACATTCGTATGTTATATGTGTATATATAACACACACGTATACGCACATACGTGTACACATGTGCATGCATACATACATTTCTGAATCCGGTCCCGATAACAGAAAAGTACCAAAAAAATAAACTGTCTTCTGCCCGAGATGATGTGAACCATTTATCTCCTTGCCAAATGATCGTATTAACCACTTACACTATGAAAGTCCGCGTGGAGAAATGCGCTAATTCTTTAAATTTATTCTTATTTATTTATTTCAAACCTTTTTAACTATTTTTAATTAAATAACGTTTACACATTATGACTAGCTTTTCGTTTAATTTCCTTAATGTAGTAAGTTCAATTTGTCACTTCGAAACAAAATTTGTTTCATCTACAGTCCGTTATATATAAAGCATCTTCTATAAATATGCGAAGATTGCTTTAGAAAAAGTTATTTGTTACTTAAACTAAATAAAAAGAAATATTACTTAGAGAAACAAATTATATGCTTTTATTTAACTCACTAATAGTGTTTGTCGGTATTTTAAGCTGCTTCCTGACAAATTATCGAGTTAATGTCCCGTGATGGAATAATATTTTATTAAAAAATTTATTATAATTTGTGATTCGAAAGATATTGGGTTTCGAATTGCATATACTTGAGCTGCGCTTCGACGTATCGCGTTGTATGGCATTTTACCAAAACATTTAGATTCTCCCAGAAAGGGTGATAATTATAAATTCGCGTGAATCAGGCATCATTTGAGAGTTTCCGATTCCCTGGAGAGAAGATAATTGCATGATGCACATCAAGTCACCTTATTTAGAAAATGAATCAGTCCAACTGAGCGTGTGTAATGGGCGTTTGGGTGCGACACCCACTTTCCGGATTCACGGAATTATTAATGTGATTAACAGTAAAATGCTCGTAATCGGCAACTTTAAATTCCTTTGTCTTATATACTTTCCATCAACGTGAAAATATTACATTATCTTCCATGTTGTTGCTCTTTGTGACAGCCATTGGATTCTTAGCTGATCTGTCTGGCATGTCAACACGCAAACATTCCTTTGTTTCGCGGCAGAGCCCGCCAAAACCCCACGATTGTTAAAGAAAGCGATCAATTTTTTTTTTTCCTGCAGGTGAATACACTTCCGTTACTTTCGTCCGAACTCACGTGGAGTTTCAGCGCACAGTTCGCGAATAGTAATAAATCTAGTATAATAATCATGCCATGTTGCATACCGAGTTGTTTTTCGCAAAATTCGATGGGTATCCACTTTTGGCATCAGCAGTAAATGACTCAAACTGCTGTCAAGGAAGGGAGGCGGGATCTTTCCGCACAATTTTGAATCCGCACAGCTTTGTTTTCGTTGTATGGTTACTTGCTGCAGCGCCATTTTGCTATTCCTTTAGAGATATAGAACACTTTCATTGCAGGGCTGTTTAGAGCAAAACATTTCGGATAGGATAATTCCTTTCTGTTCGAAAATTCAAATGCAGATTTCTTATCGTTTGACAACTGCTAGAGCGTTAAGTCGATCCTTTAACCTTAGAGCAAAATAATAAAATCAATAACGTAAAATGACTTTTAGGGGAGAAATATTATACTGAATCTGCAATTATGTAAAGCGCATTTCACGACATCTGGACGTTAGATTTCAATACTTGGTGTGACTTTTATATTTGGCTAACGCTTATCGTTGGTCTTTCTTTAACAAAAAATTACCCCATAATTGTAGTAATAAAGAGTGATTATTAAATGTCAAAAAATAATTTTTAGTAATTTAATTGTTAATGTGTATCTGAGACTATAAAGGTACAAAATTAAAAAAAAAAATTAAATACATTTTTATTTAAAACGCGTAAATCATTTAGTAACGGAGTACAAAAGTTAATTTATCATATAGTTTAATAAAAAAAAATCGATTAAGCTATTCTCGTTGCAAAATTCATCGATATTTTAATATCCCTAATAATAACAGCATGGGCGCCTAAATAAGGGAATTTAACAATCAAATCATTGTCAAACGGGTAAACTATTATCTTTCTAATTGTGATGGAAATTTCTGGATTTTTCTCTATTTTTCGTAATATAATCTTTCTAAGTAAGAATTTAAGTCTTGTTGAAATAAAAATTATTGTTTGATTAAATTTCATATATTTCCAATACATCTAATTGGTCAACAAGCAGCCGAATAGTAAAGTCGCTGAACACTGGTAGTTTGATCAGAAGCTCGATTCCCAGCGAACGGGTTGACTGCATGGGCGTTTTTGTGGTTTATAAAAGCAGCATTAAAACCAATGCCGACTCGTACAGGAACACGAAGCATCAGGTGGTTCTTTATCTCTCAACATTTATTATATCGTTTTGTATACATATTTACATTTGTCGTATTAATAGGTGGACCAACCTTCACAGAATCATACTGCCAATGAGTCAATACGTGGTTCTCCATTTTCATTTTTATATTACATGCATTCTGCTGCCAAGCAGCGCCATCTACATTTTTTTCTTTCTAACATAGTTTTTTTCGTATGTAACGGGGACTCTCTTAAATGTCCTCCACACAGCATTGCTCACTTTAAACGTTGTGTGCGTCATCGTAATAAAAAACGCATATGTAAGATATAAAATATGAAGCGAACTATTAAATTTAATTTGGTGATAGTCCCCTTTTATTTCTCATTTTAATTTGGCTACGTCTCCTTCTTGTTTTTCATACTATATGCTAAAGTGCGTCTTTTTAAAATTAGTCCGCATCATGCCATCTTATGCAGCGCGTAGCATTTGCAAATATCTTATATCCAATCAGAGATCAAAATTTCAACAAAAACCCGACTCTTATATCTCTCGCTGCTGTACTTGCTTTCCTATTTTCCCTTGCTCTGCTAGCACGCGTCTCTCGTCTTCCTGTGTCGTATACTTTCCAAAGATATGATTGGCGACATCTATTAAAATCGCTGATATTCTGGTGACAATCGCCAGAAGGATCATCGCGTTAGGACATGAGATGCGTGAAATTTAAAACCGAGAAAAAAGGATTATTGTTTAAGACAAAGTTATTTAATTTGTAGCTTTGCACTGAATCAGATATTCAAAACCAAACGATTTGCGCGCTATATCGCTCTTTACTCACCCCTCATCGTAAAAGGATTATGCATACTCAAGAGCCATCAGCATTCAATCGATGAATGCCCGTCCTTTTCCCTTCTTCCCCACAGGCAATTGGACGAATTCTGTGCTCTAGCACGCCGTCGCATCATAACAAGGGAGAGATT